GGGGGGGGGGCGCTTATTTTAAATTTCGGCCGATGGGAGGGGCGCTTATTCGAAGGGGGCGCCTACTCGAGGGGGCGCTAATTCGAGGATTTACGGTACTTAGCACGGCATGGCAGGCCTTGCCGAGCCGCACGCAAGTCTGAGCGTGACTTGGCTTCAAACGGCGTGCTCTTGCTGTGCCTAACTGAATTCATAGCCTGCTGCATCAGCTGTCGTTGCTTTAAAGTGGTCTTCAGTAAAGCAAACTTCCTCCAATCTTCGGTGTGACTGAATTGAAACGCACTGCTGTTCTTTTTTCATGCCTTCGCCAGGCCAAATTTATTTGAGTTCGGCACGGCGGTAGCACGGCGTTTGGTATAGGCCTGCGTGTAAAGCGGTAGAACGAAGTTGAATAAAGATATCTTTGGGCTCAGATTTTCTAAGCTTCTATTTCTGCCCTACCTATTTTTCTATTACAGACGAAGCTTAATTCGCCGCAAAACGACCAACTCGAAAATTCCAAACAGAGATCTTAATTAGAACGACCGAGCTCCCATATAAAGCGAACACAAGCTGAAACGATAGAAGCTGGTAGTGAGCCAAAGTTTTTAGCTTAAAGCTTTCTTCCTCAGTCTCAGGGTGAAACTCTTTTAAACTTTTGATTTGTGGTCTTTGAGACGAATATACATTAGGGCCGAGTGGTCTCTTGTTGTGCTTAAAGCTGATCAAGGCTCCATACGGAGATTAGTATTCTGTAAACTACAGGGGTAGGAAAATTTAGGCAATTGCAAATAGATAGTAAAAAAAATAAAACTTTGAATCTATCGGTTAATGTTCTTTCTTTTGTTTAATAAAATAGTCTTAAAAACACGTCAAGTAAGACGATGCTTTATTTTTGTGTCCAATGTTTGGCTTATAAATCTGAAACTAATCAAAGTTTATTGGTCTGTTAGCGTGTCATCGGGTTGAATTACAGTTCAGTGAACGTATCTACTTGTAGCTGGTGTTTATTATGGTAACAAACACCAGCTACAAGTAGATACGTTCACTGAACTGTAATGCAACCCGATGACACGCTAAAGTGTAACGCTCAAAAACTTTGCGATCGATCGCTTACCTCTCATGCGAAATGCACGTTATGTCCTATACGGTATTATGTCTTTCTTAGATGGGAAACATTCAAAAATTTTTATTTTGCGCCAATCGAACGTCATACATTCGTCATACCTGAAAACTTGGATGTCAGAAAATTCCCAAAACTAATTCGAAAACACATATTACGGTTGCAATTGTAATATGTGTTATCGTACACTTCATGAAACCACATAAAACAAAATCTCAGAAAATTACGCTTAAAAAGTCAACCGAATTTTGTTTAAACACCCTTTAAAAACAAGTTTTAAAAAAACGTTGCTATAGATACATCAAGTTATTTGACGAAACGATTGATGATACGTGGAAGTACATGGAAAATCTACCGCGCGCTAATACCGTAATGATTCAATTTAGCGACCGGGCGCTAATTTACTTTTGGTAGCTCGCCAGATATATCTTTGGTTTTTATATAATAAAACAAATATATTTAAGAGGAAATCCGATAGGAAATCGAGCAATTTCAGTTTTAAGTGGACAAAAACCTTGTAGCAGAATAATGTTCAGTATATTTCAGTCCTTTTTGCATTTTCAAAAAGCCTCAGATATAAACAGTTACCTGAAAATACACCAAAAACAAATTCCCATGGGAACTCGAGGAAATAAATTTCGAAGTTCAGAGAAATTGCGCAAACACAGGTAAAATTTCATCATCAGTTTCCTTTCAACAGTACTTTCAAGTGTTTCATAGGAACTTCAAACTTTGTTTTCGACATTGGCGCTGTTAAAAATAATTTCTTTTGAGAAGATATTTGAAACAGTCGCAGAAAAGTTTGCAATACAATGCAAATAATCTTGGTTTTTGTCCACTTGCTACTCGAACTTCTGGCGGATTCCTTGTGATGGGAAGAGCAGAGGATGCAAAAATCCGGCAAGTGCTTTCATCAGCGTTGGCAACACGACCTTCTTAAGTAAATTTGAATAACATGCTTGTCTCTGCTCACCACTCTCAGTCCTCTTTCTTGAAGTCTTTCTTGTTCTCGCGCGTCACTAGATCAACAAAAATGTCCAACTGCCTGTCCAACTAAATAGCAGTAAATGTACGTAAGGTACGGTGTGAGTACTAATTTAAATAGTACTAGTTTAGCCTTAGTTGGAATTAAGTGTCTGAGTCTTATGAGAACGCCGATCCTTTAATCCGCCTTCTTACAAATTGAGCTTATGTGATCACTGAAGTTACAATTGATATCTTTTGTAACACCTAAGAGCCTGAGATTTTCTGCTGTTTTAATTTCCTCATTGTTCACACAAGTTAAATGTGCCGCACATCATCGCAGTTTGTTCCTCAAGACCTCTTTGAAGAGCCAGAGGGCTTATTTTTAAAGACACGCACCAATTACAAATGGTGCCAACATTTTCATACAGCTTTCCTCAGCACAACTCAGATATCAACAATTACGGAAATTTGAAATTTCATTTGAACCCCATTTCTGTCCTCTATCTTCTAATACCATCCTCTTTTCACCCTCTTTCAGGTAAGTACAAGTTTAGTGATCGAGATCTCTATTATTGATGAAAGGGGGTCAAAGTGGAGCTAACACAACACATTAGAAGGAAGACGAAATAATTAAGCTTTGTAAGGAATGAAGAAGTTAACAACAAGTCATACGAGCCTTGTAACAATGCGCTTCCTCCTCGGCTGAAACGAGGTCAAGGTTGCAAACAAATTGTGAAGCCTTATGGTGAACATAGAACAGCCATACCACCGAAGTATTAAGATAACAATGAAGACAGTATATATTGCATGTGTTCATAAAATGTTGTTTTAGTGCCTTGAGATTTAAAGCTTTGTTAGGAATGAAGAAGATAGCAGCAAGTCCAACGAACCTTGTAACAAAGCGCTTCCCTCTGGGCTGATACGAGGTCAAGGTTGCAAACAAATTGTCAAGCCTTACGGTGGAAATAGAACAGCCATACCACCTAAGTATTACGATCAGAATGAAGACAGTATATATTGCCTGTGTTCCTAATATGTTGTTTTAGAGTCTCGAGATTCAAGTTTCACAATGAGCTCAAACTACATTGTTAAACAGAAATATTTGTTCCGCCAATTTTTTGCTCCACGTTGACCCCTTGTCATAATAATGGTGGAAACATGAAATATCGGTCATTGCAAAACCAGAGTTTCATACAGGAAAACACTAACTTTTTTTTTTTCAATTAGTTTTCATTGCATAGTTCACGTGCCTGCATCGAGAGATCCCTCCATTATAAGTATTAATTTGATGAAAGAGAGTCAAACTGCTGATAACAGAAACGAAAGTCAAAAACTAAGAAGCGATCAAAGTTGGAGTTATTTTAGAATCGCAGGTACTCATGATCGTTAAGCTACTTATCTTTCGATCGACAGGAATAAAGAGGCTAACAGCAATTCAAACGTTCTTCCTCGTCAGCTGATACAAGTTCAAGGGTCAATGTACCAGAAATGCGGCAGTCACACGGACGTTAAGCTCGCTATAATATAAGTAACCTTGCCGTCATAGTAATTTCAAACCCACCTGAGTTTTAGGGTCGCAACGTAGTAATCGAAGCTTGAAAATGTCACGGTTTGGTGCATCTCCTACAACCGTTATTTGCCTCTTTGTTATCCTAACTGGACAAAGCTCAGCGCTACTAACATTTTATCAGCCGTATCCGTGGCAACACATCTTGTATCCTAATTTTCAAGGTAATTACAAAGGTTTTATTGCGTCTGCGAACGTTGTTTATACTTGTGCTGAAACTTATGCGCTGGTGAAAATCAGCTTTTAGAACTACCCAGTACATCTGAACTTACAACAGTGATTTGCATGACCACACTTGTTATCGCATTATTGTGATAACAAAGGAGTGATTCCCTTATTCCTTTAAAAATTGTCCTCGGTCTATTATTATAGATTAACCGTTTACCCTTCTCATTATTTCATCATGCTGAATTTCCCTGTAACCAGAAAAAAAATGAACATTTGTATCATTGACCAGCATGTGGGTTAATATTTCTCGCGATAATCACGGGTTAACAGATGAAGAATATATATACACTGAAGACAAAAAAGTATAATAACGGCAGATTGGATGGAAAAATTCCCTTTCCTTCCAAAACACGGGGTCCAAACATCTAGAGGCACAAGTAGCCACTCAGTAATGTCCATAACGCCCTCCGTTTCCACTGCTCTTCCCTGCATGGGATCCTTGGGCAAAGGATGTAGTCCCAACCCTCGTTTCCATAAAAAGCTAGGAGAACGAGGGTTGACGCAGTCCATCTGTTTTACGTCTTTATTATTGTTCTTACAGTTAATGATCGAATCATAGCCCGTTGGACGAATAATCTTTATTACGCTGGCAGAGTGTCATCAATTGGAAATGGGTTGATACGCATTTTGTTTGACGACGGTAACACGATCACCCACAGAGACACCGATATTTCAGCTGTAATTGCTGATACAGTGCCCCATCAAGTGGACATCGGTGACCACGTCGTGACGACTTGGAAAGGAGGCCACATATACTACATTGGTTATGTATCTGACAAGGATTCTAACAACCGCTTCAAGGTTACCTTTGATGACAACAACGAGGATTTTTACACCACCAGCCAGTTAAGAATAGTCCTGGATCATTTCTCTGCTCATGAAGGTTAGTAAGAGAGTCATCCCTCTCCGCGAGCTAAACGTCATTAACAGCAATCCTATCTACTTCCCTTGCATCATAAATGCTGCAGTTTGACTGCATGGGATATTACCATAACCGGGACTAGTTGCCAAATTGTATTCAGTGGAGGACCATTCTTCATTTGAGGAAGGGTGCGGGTGATATGGTAAAGGCGTGAATTATTTCGAACCCTTTCATGCACCAGGAAATGTTTTTTTATCAGCACATATGTATGCATGACACTTTTTCCCCTCTGTAGCATGCTTTTTTTAGCTCACTAAAGAGGATGAATGTTTGTTTTTTCGGCAGTGGTTGTGTGCATGAATTTTTTATTGGTACAGGTGTGTTAGTAGGATATTTTTTCCAACTCCCCCTCAAAAGTCAACTGTTGTTACTCAGGCTTTCAAAACAAAAGGCATGACGTATATCTTCTACATTTTAAGTACTACTCCACGCAAAATCTCTTTTTTAAGGATAAATACCAAATAAAACAACAAAATATTTTGCTAGGCATTAATTACTTTTGCATTTTTCATCGTCGGTTAATATTCTCTTTTTGTTCATTCCCGCAGTGGGCGCCAGAGTGTTTGCACGCTGGACAAATGGTCTTTATTATCGGGGATTTGTCACAAGGGCCTCTTCGACAGCTGTGTTCATCAACTATGACGATGGCAAAACCATCACTCTACAGAAGAAGGACGCAGCGGCGGTAATACTCGACAAACTTCCCTGCTACAAAGACGTCCAGGCTGGTCAGCGTGTAATTGGTTTCTTGCCAGGAAAAACCAGATACTACCCAGGTGATGTAGCGTACAAAAGGAATGTCTGCAGTTCTAGTTGTTACCAGAAAGCTGTATACCGTGTGTTGTTTGATGACCATGATGATGATACGGATCAGCGAGTGCAAGATTTCCACCAGATTCGTCTAATCCCGTGTTCATCAAGCTTCCAGGGATAGCCACGTGCAGTCAACAGTCAACATATCAGTAGAAATAGTTTGAATTTTATATGCTTGTCAGTGAAAAAGAACAGTCGATATGTTGTAGCTAAGCTTTTCACAGATGGAAATATTAGAAGTATGTCCTAAATTGTTGCTTCGCCAAGATGAACCGCTGCTAAGTCGTACCCAAGGGATAATTTAGTTGAAATTTGAGCTAAACTAGTTTAGGTAGAGCACAAGTAACGGCCCGCTTCGTTTAATAAATGCTTCAAAAAGGGTGTTGCATTTCTGGCTCTGTGATTGGCTTATTGCTGTCCGCAGCCGTTGACTCCGAACCCCCTTTGATCAAATGTAGGAAATGGGCCGTTGGTGTGTTTGACAATGTTCTTCCTCGCAAAATAATTCTTACGACGTCTACCAAGTAATACTCAAAGTTTTACGCAAAGCACTTGATGGTATCACGTTTACGGCTTTGGATGAGCGAACAAAAGAGGAAGATTTAATTTTGCATTTGCCACGAATTGAAGCGTACCACTTAACGAAATAGGCCCGGCTTTTACCTATGAAAGCCGGGCCAATTTGAATCATGAAACCGTGAAAAGAAAGTGAAATTTTTGTATTTCAAGTGTTTCGGGACTGTATTTCGTTGTGCAGGATTTAAACTTCAATTTCAGTTTATTTAAAATCACACGTGGTGACTTTCTGACACATGCCCCATATCCAAGCAATGACGTCATAATTTGCATGTCATAATTATCTACAGAGGCATTTCTGATGGGATGGGATGGGAGGCTTTCTTTTCTCCCAACCTCTACTCCATTCTCGAAAATCCTCCACCCCATCCCCATGACTCTTGGGAGAATTTAAATTTCCAGGTCAGACGTAAAAACCGGCAATAGAGGTGATATTTCTCTTCGGAATTCCCTTTGCACGTTCTGATTCCCATGCACCAGCCAATTTCATTGTTGACCAACTCAGGGATTACGTTCGACAACTCGTAGTTGTGTTCAGGCTCCCCGAATAATAAATTCGATGTTTAATACTAAATTCGGCATTTGTGCTAATCCATTGTTAGCTTCCATGAAACCTGGGCTTGCACAGACTGTATTCCTGTATTATTGGGGTGGGAGGGAGGTACCCGTGTCGAGCCAATTTCCCGATTGTGGCCTGTTTGAAATAGTTACAAATTACGCCCTTATGCCCATTTGCCGAGGGAGTGTAAACAGCGCGGGTAGCGAAATGACTGGTTTGTTACGAACTGCTAGCTGAGATCCGAGATCTGCGAAATTTACCGATCTCGACAAAGGGCTGAAATTTCAAGCAACCCTGTCTACACCCTCAACTTCGGCTAGCAACCACTTGAGAAGTTCAACAAAAGCAACATTTAGCAACAGCTCTCCTGAAACTCTATCTGTAACTCCGAGTTCCTCCTAAATCAATCAGAATGCAGCCCCTGCGATATTCCTTTATGTAAGCTACATAGGTGTGTGTTGCGCAAAAGAGAATGGCTTGAAACCGTTCAGGTCTGAGATAGAGTATGTTTTGCGCTGTGGCCTGGAATTGAGAATGAAACTTTATTTTCCCCCTTCAAACTTGGGTAATGTGCAGCCCTTCTCAAATTTTTATGTAGATGGAAGCCACCCGGTTTACTGGAGGTTATGTATTAGAGACGGGCATGCCAACTGATTTAGCGGTGTGAAATAGGATCTCGGAAATCACATATTTCGGCAGAAGCTTTCAGAAATAGGGTGAGGGTTTTAAAACATGTAACGCACTCTCATCAAAAAGTTTCCAGAGTACCTATCTCCTTGGTATCCAGAAAAGTAATTCTTAACTTTGCGTAATAATCGCATCTATTAACATAGTTTATGTTGTATTTGAAATATTTGTTTATTTATTTACAGTGTCCCCAATCAGCACATTAGTGCTAAATACATCGACACTTAAAATAAGTGATTATTATGATTATTATATTATAGAGGAAGAAAACTCAATAGCCCTTATGCATGACGACATCAGACAAGCAAATTTTACCACTAAGCCTCGGTTTGAAAATGCAAATTGCAAATTTTATCATGCACAAATTCCCAAAGCAGGAAAGATGAAAAAAATACCCTCATGAAAACAACACGAACTGAGGGACAGAGGTTTCTGAAAATTTCTCGAAAGCGAGACTCACTGGTGAATTTTGAGCGTGTGACGTAGTCATGCCTAAGACCTAGAAATTGGGTTCTTATCAGTGTTATATTTAAGGCATTTAACCCCTACAGGTCAATCATTCGCAAACTCGTTGTTTCATTTCAAAAACTCAAAGTTAATTAATTTTGTTACTGATTTAATTTTCGCGGCCACGGCAACCGAGTAAGCACCGTTCTGATTAACAAAGGGGCTGATACTGGCCTGCAACAACCTGGTACTTGCCAGGAGCGACCAAGTCATAAGCCAATTTGGTAACATCTAGGAATCCCGACATGTCAGCTACACGGAACACGTGTTTCTCGCGATCGGGTGAAGCTACCTTCACGATTTCATCGATTCCTGAAATGTAGTTACCAACAGCAACCACGAAAATCTCCACGCCAGAGCTCTTCAGTAAGTTGGCGTTGGGTATGGTCTTGTCAGACTCGATGTTGGACCTCCCATCAGTGACAAGGAAAGCAATCTTGGTCACGCCACGACGTTTTCCTTTCAA